CCAGTAGTGCTGGATATGTCTTGGAATTTCATCGCTTAAAAAAGGTTTCAGCAGTACAGCATACAACTCTTTATTAATTTTATCACCACTTAGCCATTTACAATTACGCATGTTTGGTTTACATACACGTATTTTTTTTCCAGCACAACCAGCTATGAGATTTCTGTGTTTGCCGCCATCTTGAATAAGTTATCGTGACGCCACGAGGCATCATAGTTTTCCCATTTGACACGGTTTTCATCGTGAAATTGACCAATTTCGGACCATCACCCTCAAAATAATTGATGAAATAGTTTTGGGACCCATCGACAGTAGAAAGGTAGAAACTTAAGCCGAAAATAATGAAAAAACAAATGGCTGTTACGACCCAACCTGATTTCAGTTCAGACTACGGTATTTTAAAATGGTCATTTTTGGTCAAAAATTCTATTTTCGACTTCTTCAAAACCGGTAGCCTGAATGCTTTGATACTTGGTGTGTATGTACCTTGTGTTGACATCTACTAGATTTGTTCATCCTTTGGCCATATCTTTAATTCTCTAATTTTGGCAAATATTTTTGGTTAAAAATGAAATTTCAACTAACTATGTTAGGCAAACATGTGTTTATTATTCCATTGACAACTTTGTGTGGCGATATTTCATTTAAAAATACAAGAAATGGTGTGGCATATACAGCACTAATCTTTTGTACAATAGCTGTTGAGCAACAGGCCATTGGCCTATTTTTACTAATTTGGCTCAAAGTGCAAATAATCTCATTGTGAGAATATACAAAATGTATACTATCAAAGATTAGGGTAACAATCGTAGATTCAATGGATCAATTGGGTGTAGAAATGGCCTTGTTCTATGCTAAGGTCTCATAGTATGTGTACATTTTGTTTGACAGATTCATTCTCCAATCAGCACAGAAAGCAGTCAACACAGTAGTACAAATGGCAGCAGATGAAGTTTACATTAATCAGCCTACCATCTTATAGTCTCAAAATAAAACACAGAAGCATGTGATTTTCAATATATATATATATATATATTTAATGTTAACACATTTCGAGCAGCATTAAGCTACATAGGGGCAGTATGCTACATTAATTTACCCATCTACTGGATCAAGACATCAGTTTGATGGGTTTCTTCAATAGGGGACTGCAGGCTAATAAGCCTTATTTTCAAAAAAGATCTCACAGGAAAATATTGCCTGCTGCAAATTGTTTTATTGCAAACCACACACTTTGATATTTCTGTACAGTATATCATTAAAGCATCATTTAATACTGAATTTGTCAATGTCTTTTACTTCAGGATGAACTATAAAAGGGTCTACAATTGTAATGACGTCTTTTGGAACTCACTTCATTAAATCTTTGTACTAGTGTACCCTTCATAGTCCTGAAGATGTTTGTTAAAAAAGAGTATATATATATACATACTCCTCCTGCATGTAAGGTTTATTAAATTTAATATTATCACCTGTCGTACAGTTTAAATTAAAATTAGAGAAATGGTTGTTCAATCACTTGTTGTGCTTCTTGCTTGTGGATTGCACCAATTCCAGTAGCTGGAGCTGCCAGGGGTCCTCTACCAATGTAGTCCAACTGAATAAATAGAAAGTGCACATTTATCATAATTGTAGATATTTTTTTTTTCAAATACAAAAAGTGACAACTTATAAACAGAGAAATTTTGGGTTGATGTGAAAAGATGTGCAGAATTTTCTATCAACATCGTTTACGCATAGGGATCAAAATTAATTGATTTCTTGGAAGTTTGAGTTTGTAGTGCATTATTTTTACCAAAAGTGTGAACACAAATTTATTTGAGTAGGACATCAATAACTTTGAACACTAAAGCGCATAAAAAAAAAAAACATTTGTTGTTTACTTGATCATTAAAATATTACTTATTTTACATAAGTGCATTTGACAAATGATAGTTCCTTGTTCTACTGGTAATTTTGAGCCCTGAAATACCATGCCAAGATTGTCCTTAAAACACTATGATAAGATCTTTTGTATATGCTGCTGGGTAAAGGGTCTACGACTACAAGTTCTTACTAAATTGGAATGTAACAACTTTATGAATAATTTATTACATTATGAATAATTCAGTGATGTCATTTATGGACTATGCTATTGAACTTTACCTTGACTCCAACGTTATTCAAAAAACGTGGGTTGACAAATGTCCAAGCTCCACTGTTCTGGTGTTCTTCTTGATTCCAAATAAATTCTGCCAAGCAGAAATATATAACAGAGGTACATTACTTGGGGTTTGCAACTCGCATAGTACTGTATGGTGACATGTCAAGATCCCATTGAAGTCTCATCTCGTAGATAGCGAGACTGAGGCTACGACCTTCTGACATGATATATATCAATGTTCAAGGTTTGTAATGTAAAAATAAAACTTTTCTTGCCACTATCGTAGTGAAAAATGTAATACATCGAAAATGTAGTTCTCGTAATCCGTCATATCGTGGGCAGCTATTTTGATCCACCTGGACATCCCAGTATCCTAGTTACCTCGGGCATGCGCATTCGCATTTTTCTGAGTTGGAACGCTTATGCGAGAGCGAGATTGTGATGGGATCTTGGTATCATGTCACCGTTGTTGCAAACCCCAAGTAATGTACCTCTGATAACAATTAATAGAACAATAACTGCAATTTGCATGTCAATAGTAAGATTAACCATGATCATGAAATAACTCAACACGAGATATAATCTTATCTGATTGATTATGAATGTCCTACCTTTTGCAGCTGGGTATTTCTGTACTTCCTGTCGGAGTTCCATGGAAGGAAATGGACACAGAGATTCCACTCGTACAATTGCAACATTGTTAGCTTGAAGTTTTTCTCGTTGTTTCAATAAAGCATAATAATGCTTACCAGTGACAAATATTACCCTTGTGACACTGCATAAGAGAAAAACATGTTTTTTAATTATGGTTGATTACAATGCGCCAGTCATGGCATTACCAAGGTTTTTCATGGTGAATATAAAGACCTAAGGTAATATTGATGTGACTGATGGTTGCAGAGAAATTCTTGTCTTGAAAAAATATTGTGCAGTTTAGATCCAGTACGTAATGTCAACACTCAAACCTTAAATAAAACAAGCCTAGAAACTAGCTGTTTCAGAGAACAAATCTACATGGTCACTACAAAATCCACAGTCATTTTTGATTGAATCATACTAACTGATTATGTAACAAGGTATCAATCAAATCACACATATGGCAGAGAAAAAATTGTGTCAGATGATAAAAAAAAATAACGTACACCTGCAAACAAATACGTTTCCATAAAAAAATGGCCACCACAAAGCTGATTTAGTTTACC